AGAATAAGATAGTATATTAGGCTATACAAAGTTAATTTTTTGGTTTTCATAACATAAAATTTGAAAATAATCTGGCAGCCTGGTTGGTATAGTGTCTTGCCAAATACCGGTCCTTGTCCAAATTGCTGAAATCGGTGTCCGGATCTCTTAGATAGCCTTTTACATAGTACCGTCAAAGATCTGTTCTACCTCTCTACTCGGGACTTGCCAAGTAGACTTCCGTGTGCCCCAATACCTGGATTTACACAGCTGTTTTACTTGGGTTTTGTGTAACTCATGTGTCACACTATAGATCCACAGCTTCCCAATAACCTCTGATACAACCAAGTTTACAGATCTAATGATCTATCAGTTTATACACAGTCTGCCGTAACACATTCTGTAAAATTTGAATTTCGTCGCTAGTGGGATTCGAACTCTTGTCCTGCCACTTGGGGATGCGACAATTTGACCACTTCACTAAGTCGCCACACCCTCTACAAGTATTAAAATATGTATATGATGGAGTTGCATACATATTATAAAATTAGAATTAGCAAATTCGTCTAAGAAAACCTTTTGTTAGAGTTTCAACTTTACTAAGATTTTAAATTATCTATAGGTTCTTTCACAACAAAACTATACTTTAAGTATATAACGGTTTTGATTTTTATGTTTATATTATGTTATTTTTATTCTTGAATGCTAGTTGTTTTGTACTATTATGCTGATATGTTCTATTAACTTTTTTGTTTTAAAATTTGTTTCAAGCCTTATAATATTCATACTTAAGTTTTATAGTATTTGATGAATATAAAAATTCTGTGCCAGGTATTATCAAAGTTTTGAAAAAAATTTCTTTTTCAAATTTTTGTCTCTAAAATAACTTTTCATATTCTAATCACAAAAAACTTTATTTAACTCTAATTTAAGCTCCAGCTTCAAATCTGTTTATAATATATCGATCAATCCACTAATGAAAAAAAATAGTGTATTAAAATAAGTAAATTATTATAACACCATTCTAGATTATTGGTAGAGCAGTTAAAGAGTGGAATTGGTAAATAATTATTTGAGTCTCAATCGAAAATTTTAAATATCAAAATAATCTTCATTTATTAAATTTTAAACTCAGTCAATCATCGAGCATCAGTCAAATTAAAATTTAACTATGAGGTTTAATAATAATAAGTTTTTGATTGATTAATAAATAATAATTTCATAAATTTTATTTAATAGATTTTTTTCAAATTCACATAGTTAAAAAACTCAATTGAATCAAGATGCAAAAAATTATATATTTTATCAGCTGAAGAGTGAAATCAAGTTGAAGAAACTTTACATGCTATATATGCAGAATTTAAGGTGTGATACTATTTATTTAAACAAGTTAGTCTATTGACATCCAAATTAGTTTCTGTAACTAATCAAAATAAAATGCATACTTACTATAAAGGGTTCATTATTTCATCAACCAAGATAATAATCAACTGATAAGCGAAATCAAGTTGAAGAAACTTTATATACTATATATACAGAATTTTAGAAGCAGTACTATTTATTTAATTGGTGATTTGCCAGTCAATCAGAGAGGATCTGCAAATTTTTATTTTTACTATAAGCCCAAATATGAAGCGCTCCTATCTAAAACTTTTTTTAATAAGTAAATCACTCTTAGGCTTCTAATAAAAGTTGTAATGCTTATTAAAATGTATCTAATAGTAGTAAAAACATTAAAATTGGTTTAGTAGTTTTTGAGAAATCTTTAAAAAATATTTTATTGACATATAAAATTTCTTTAAAAAAAATTAATTTTTTTTAAAGAAATTTTATATATCAGCAAAATGTTTTTTAAAGATTTCTCAAACCTACCAAGTTGATTTTAATATTCTTATCACTATTAGATGTGTCTTGATGAGCTCTACAACTTTTATTAGAAGCTCAAAAGTAATTTACTTAGTTAGAAAAAAAGTTTTAGTTAGAAGCACTTCATAGTAAAATTTATTTATAAAAATTTACAGATCCTCTCTGGTTAACTGGTGAATTACTAATTAAACAAGTTAAGTCTATCAACATCCAAATTAGTTTCTGTTATCAAGAGTACAGTTTTGCACAAAATTGCAAAAAATTAAATAATAAACTAAATGAAAATTTGTGTAAATCTGCAACCCTGCTGGCTATAGCCAGAGAAAATTAAATGCAATTTTGTAAAAAATTTAAAATTTGAAAAATTTTACAGATTTTTTATAAAAATTCTGCAAAAATCTGTATTTTAACAGATTTTTGCAGATTTGTATCAATTTAATTTCCCTGATAGTAACTAATCAAAATAAAATACATACTTACTTTAAAAAGTTCATTAAATCTATTTTTTCATTAACCAAGATAATAATCAATTAATGAGTTAAAGAAACTTTACATACTATGTATGCAGAATTTAAAGAGCAGTAACAGTATTATTTACTTAAACAAGTTAGTCCAACAACATCTATATTAGTTTCTGTAACTAATCAAAATAAAATACATATTTACTATAAAGGGTTCATTTTTTCATCAACTAAGATAATAATTAACTAATGAGCGAAATCAAGTTGAAGAAACTTTACATGCTATATATACAGAATTTAAGGAGCAGTACTATTTATTTAAACAAGTTAAGTCTATTGATATCCAAATTAGTTTCTGTAACTAATTGGAATAAAATATATACTTATTGTAAAGGGTTTATTAAATCTGTTTTTTTATTAACCAAAATAATAATAAAGAAGTTACAAATTATTTTGCTCTTCCTAAAATTGATTCTATAGCATACAAAAATGGCAATTTCTAATTTTAAGTAAAATAACACAAAAATTTATTGCAATTCCTACAATATGCACTCCAAGTTTTTAGATGCAGAAAATGTTATGAGTATGAAAAGGATGTTATTAAAGTCAAAGTTATTTGGCAGAATGGTATTTCTAAAGTATAATATGAAAACAATTGACTTTACTATTCCTAATATCTAGGATTAATGCATTGTTATGTTTATAATATAAATTGCAAATTATATATAAATACATATTAAATAATATAATAATAATAATACAGGTTGCTTTTATAATATGCAAATTATAAGTTATATAAATTGTATATAGCGATAATAGTACAAGTTGTTTTTGTAATATCACAAATTGTAAGTTATGTAAATTGTAATTAGGTAATGTAGAAATAATGATATAATTAATAAATTTTATATGATATTAAATATATTGTTGTGTTTATAATATAATTTGCAAATTATATATAAATATATATTAAATAATATAATGGTAATAATACAATAATAATGATAAAAAATATTTAATACTAATACAGTACAGTAAATATCAAAAAGACATCAAAAAAAAAACTAATTGCTTACCTATTTAACTTCTCCCAATTTGTAAAAACTATATTTAATGTAATAGATATAAAATCTTTTCGTTATCACCTTCATTAGCTTCAGTTGCATCTTTAGTACCTTCTATGACTTCAGTTGCATCTTCAGTATCTTCTATAGCTTCAACTATATTCGATTCAGTAACTTCTGTTAAATAAGAAATCTCATTGGATACTAACAGTTCATTATTCATATCATTGAATTCAAAAAAAGCACTCTTGGCAAAATAATTCTTGTTATTCATATCATTAAATTCAGAAAACATACTTTCATTGAAATCATCTACAATATTTGGAATTGATAACGTATTTATTGTCTTTAATTATAATTTACTAGTTTCAGGATTTTCTTTGATATGCTTAATTCAGTCAAAGATATTTCCATATTTGGGTGATGTGATCACACCATTTATGGTATAAGATCACTGATCAGATGATTCTAGAATCTGTTATACAAAATGCCAAAATCGAGTAACTCTGTAACTTATACACTTTTAACTCTAAACGAACATAAGCATTTTTAATCCACAACTCTAAGAACTTCACTTATAAGAGTTACTATTGTTAGTACTAGTTATATTAACTATATATATGTCTTGAATACTAAAAATGTTT